AAAAAAAAAAAAAAAATAGAAGGAATAAGACCTAGTGTTCGATAGTTCAGTAGGTGACTATAGTTAACAGTAATCTAATGTATATTTCAAAATAGCCAGATGAGAAGCATTTGAACATTTCCATCATAAAGAAAAGATAAATAGGGCCAGACATAGTGGCTAATGCCTGTAATCCCAGTACTTTGGGAGGCTGAGGTGGGTGGATTGTTTGAGTCCAGGAGCTGGAGACCAGCCTGGGCAGCATGGTAAGACCCCCATTTCAAATAATTAGCCAGGCATGGTGCACGCCCCTGTGATACCAGGTACTCAGAAGGCTGAGGTGGGAGGATTGCTTGAGCCCGGGAGGTTGAGGCTGCAGTGAGCCATTTTATTGCCACTGCATTCCAGCCTGGTTGACACAGTAAGACCCTGTCTCAGAGAAAAAAAAAAAAGATAAATGTTTAAGGTGATGGATATCCATCTAAAAAGTATAGATTGTAAAAACAAAAACCTCTTACAGAAAATTTCTACAGTAGCTACTAAATTCTGAGGGAGATAACATTAACCAGACACTTGGTATTGTCCTAAGGAAGTATGTTTCAAATTAAAGTTCTGGACAAGAGTGATTGAAATGGATGGAAGAGGTGTACCATGGCCTTCCCCTCCTTTTCATTCCTTCTGCCTTCCTTTTCATCTGGAGTGTGTCATTTGCTGCCTACTGATGTCCTTGCCTTTCTGATCTGTCTTCTCTGCCACTGTCAGATTCTTCCCAGGCTCCACTGTTACTCTCTCCTTCCCTTACTTAGATTGTTCCTGCTTGCGGCATCAGGGCTGAGCTTTTCTGCCTCTCACTGCATCCCCTCCAATAGTCTAGCTCTTTTCTGCCTCCAGCCTTCTCTCCCAGTCTGCCCATACAGACCCTACATCCTTATTAGGCCAAGCTACTTCCCACACCTTCTCCCCCAACTCAGTCCTTATTATCTCCTCTGTGCCTTTGTTCTGTTTGAAGTATCCTTTTCCCTCCACTCCATTATATCTGAAGCTTTCTCAAGACCCAGCTTTGAGCTATGTCTCCTTGTTTTCTGTCCTCAGTTCATATTGCTCTTTGCTATTCATTCTTTTCTTTTTCTTTTTCTTTTTTTTTT